GACAAGTGAACAAGCTTTAAGATGATACCAATAACTCTACATGCCCAAAAATTGACGAGAGCCTGATTCCACCACGCTGCCTCACATATAAGGCTGGAGAATGAGAGGAGTTCAGATGAGTAGGTGCTGACTACCTACAGGTCGTTATGGAGTCAAGACAAATTATTTTATTGTTGGTTAGGGTGAAAAGGAGATATGGGGATGGGGGTGGTGTTCGATGTCTCTATATGGTTTTCTTCAGTTTAATTAATCAGGATTCATTGTTTGTTGGGAAAATTTGAAAATACTTATTATTCAAATGAACATTTTGGGTATTTCGCCGCTGCCTTAAAATTACAAAGTTCTATCTGGCATTTTTGGCCCGATTTGAGTTTCTTAGACCATAGTGGGTGATTGGCGGGTGCTCTGCTGTGGTTTGCTCCTTCTTTCCTCTTAAACATCTCTCGTCCTTATCTTTCCTTCTTCTTTTTTACATTTGTTGTTACTCTCTTGTAACACCACTAATCTTCGGCACTTATATGACCTTATTGTGTTGCAAGTGCCGAAAAACTCTTAACAAAACTAAACTTAGACCATAGGGTGAGAAACCAAATGTTCTGTCTGCTCTATCACAATCGTAAGATTATTCGTAGTCGTTATCAAGCTGGTCAAAGAAATGCATTCGAAAGACATTGACATGTTCTGTCTGCTCTATCACAATCGTAAGATTATTCGTAGTTGTTATCAAGCTGGTCAAAGAAATGCATTCGAAAGACATTGACATGTTGTGTCTGCTCTATCACAATTGTAAGATTATTCGTAGTCGTTATCAAGCTGGTCGAAGAAATGCATTTGAAAGACATTGACATGTTGTGACAATCAACATTTTTCACGTCAAATTTTCTCAAAATGAGGTGCTCAGCTGGTAGAACTTTGTAATTCTGAGGTAGTGACTGATTGACATTGGGAACACATATGTGTGTGGGTCAGGAGTTTTAGTCTCTCTGGCTAGCTTTGGTACATGTAGGCCCTACTTATGTCTGTGTCAAAGAAGGTCACTGAGCACCTTCTTTTTTAAATTCCAGGTCAATATGTAGTTTTGAAAGAGGAAGTTATTATAGTCTTTTATTTGAATTTATCTGCTGTACTAAGGTATCAGTTGTATAAATCTTCAGATAAACTTGCATTTCAACTGCGTCGAAGTTTGCCATAAACTGTACAGATGTCATTCAATTGCAAGATTTGTACAATAACTTCTATTCTCAATAAATTATATAATGGAGTACACTCAAATTGAAGTCAGTTCATCTGAAAATAACAGTAAACCAAAAGGAAAGAAAATCACAGATTTTTTTTCTTCTTGTCTTTGTAAGAGAACTATCAATTAGTTGAAATGCTTACATTTCAAAATTGAAAAGAATGGCGACTAAATTATCACTAGCAACCCCCTTGTGAAGCACATCATCAAGAATCTTGTGCTTCAAAATAGCAAAACAGGAAAAAGAGACACGAAAACACATGTGTCGATTGTGGGTCTACGAAAAGCATCACCAGTGTACTGTTTGCCTACATTTATGACACACCTCAATGGGCCTACACATTGTGTATTGGTCTAGTGATGCAAGGGTCAGGGTAGCGAAACTGTGAGTCTGTTGCACACCTTTTGGTCAGTTATGGCCTGTTTATTGTCTCTGCAAAGCTAGCTCACAAAGGCCTGATGCACATGAGAATGTGACCACATGTGGTGTGTTTCAAGACGTCACTGGCATTGAGTTTTTACACTTCTCCAGGCGCAGAGTGCAGTGCAGTTTGCAGCACAGAAGTGTGCTCATCTACTCTTCCGTCTGTTCTGTGCGACTGTTTGGCAGATTAAGCGAGCTAGCAATGTCAAAGAGAAAGCACAATGTGTACAGTCTGCAGCTCTCATTGCAGTTACCAAAAGAGGTAGGTGAGAAAAAAGACCTCTCAAAAAGTGAAGTTTGCCGCAAGCATGGCATTCCCTACTCGTCGTGTCAACAATCATCGCTACTTGAGTAACCCTCTCTAAACAGAAAATATGACTAAACCAAAGAAAATACGGTGATCCTACTACTTTTGATTCAAGTGGACTCCAGTGTACTTTCAAATATCCACATAATATGAACTTCGCCTTTGTCATGCTACATTTTGGTAGAAGCCACATTTTTAGAAGTGCTCAATTTTTATTTTTAGAAGACAACTGTCCAATCCTGAATTCGAAAACGCAAGGACCATTTGCAACGTTCTTCCAAAAACAATTTGAATGCAAAATTGGGTTCACAGCTTATTTGTGTCACAGTGCATAGTTCTGTCCCCATCGTTTTATGCATGAAAAATTCTGAAATTATGCAAACTGAGCCCAAAAATGTGAAATTATTCGATTCTGTTAATTTTAACAAAGAATGATAAAGGAAAATAATCAGAAATTATGCAAAAAATGATCAAATTTTGCAAAATTATGTGGGGCATAAAACCATGGGGACAGATAGTTTGCTTTGTAAATGATTTGTAATCCTCTTCTCATAGCTACTTATTGAAGTTTTTTTTTTATATTGAGTGATATAATTGATTCGAATAGTAATGATAATAATATGTAATATGCTGAATATGATGTGCAATTGAACATAATGACTGTCATTACAGGAAATGAAGGATCAAATGCTAAAAGATATGTACTGACAGATCGCTGGAAATAATTACCATTCCTTTACCTTTACTGCCGTATGTCTGTTGAATGTCACAGTGTTAGTGTTGCGCTGAGCAATACTTTGAGTGTATTTTTGAGCATACCTTCTTGTTTGCGTTTGCTTCCATGATAATATTGTGAGAAATGTTGACAGGCAGGTTTTTGTTGCTTTTGTTGTTTTATTGTTCTCTAGGGTAGATGGGATATCTGACTGATCTTTGTGGCGGGTGTACATTCTTTCAAGACTGAGCACATGCCAGTGCCTATGTTTTATGAAGAATAAAGTATGTTCTATATCTTAGATAGTAGTTTGATTTGTTTCTTTATTGTAATTGTTCAAAGTATCTTTGTAACATTGTAACAATATATTGTAACTTCTATGAGTGCATGGCCAGTTGATCAACCAGGGGTCTTGTCTTGCAGAATATAGCTTACTACTTCACAACTTCTGTTTTGCATCCCTTTTAAAAAAATGACATCATCTTTGCTGCACTCTGACTGGGAAAAAGGTATAATAATATGTGTCAGGATGCGGTGGAATCAGGAGCTCGTCATTTTTTTTACATATGGGGTTATTGATATCATTGTAGAACTTGTTCATTTGTCTTGCTTTTGATTTTAAAAAAGTGGCCTCGTGTTTTTAATAGAGGTCGAAACATTTTCATATGAGGGAGGTGAGGGCCACCTGTTTTCAGAGGTAAAATTACGTGTAACAAGAGAATGACCTACAAAATTTGAAGACTTCTATAGTTTGATGACCTTTGGAAACCGAAAATTTCCAATTTTTGTGCCTTTAATCAATGTTTTTCAGTAAAATCCACAGAGAAATGTACTTTTAAATTGACATAAAATGTGTTGACCCCCCATGCCCCCCTAAAAAAAAGAAATTAATCAATGAAAATTGCCAAAACCAGTGGATAAATCCTGGTTTCTTTGATGTCATTATTTTGACGAGCGCCTGCTTTAGTTTCACCATGATGCCTAACATACAAGAGAAAGTCAGAGATCGAAACATGAAAGATAAATGTCACGTTCTAGAAACTAGTGAGAGTGCATATAAACAGAAAACAAAGACTGTAGAAATGGGTAGATATATATATCTTTAATGATGCCCTCAAAATAATGGTCATAATGACATTGAAATAAAACACTCTTTACATACGTTAACCTGTAATTATTATTAAGCACTCGCATAGCACAATGTTGTTGTTTTTAAAAGAATTTAACCTGCTTCGCAATGTGATTTTGGAATAAACAAAAATTTCAGAGCATTGTGCACATTAAGGATAAGACAAGATTGAAGCTTGATAACTTGAGACAGAACTGCAGCTCCTTTATGTTAGCCATCCAAACCTTACTCTTTCATACTCTTTCAATCTCTATAAAGTAAATGTATAAAAAAATAAATGACAGAACATGATGTAGTAGTGGGTCTCAGCGTATTGGTCTGGACTTGTATCTTATCTTTTCTAGTACATGAGAACACAGGTGATAAAGTTTATGAAATTAAATTTTTCTGGGAAATTTATAATACATGTACATAACTACAAACTAAAATATTGGTCGTTCTAATAAAAACGACTTGTCAAAGTCGATGAAATAACCGTAGAGATACTCAGTTTGGTTCTCATGTATCACCAGTACATGTACAAAACATAGACCTGGAAATAAACAATCTTGCCTATTGAAATAATATGTTTCTGAGGTGCTGCTGTATCTACTCTCTAAAACATTTGATCCTGTAAAATGTCTCGTCAAAGTCGATGAAATATCTAGCTCTAGAGAATGCTTGATTCTCATGTACAAAAAGCACAGACCGGGAGATATAACATCATGTCTTTAAATGTCAAAGTTATGTCTGAGTATGAACGATTAGCACAAGCGTGCAATAATACTCTAGGCTCACTAGTTTATTTTTGTTTGTACGTATGAATAAATGTGCTCGTAGTTTGTTGCGTCTCACATTTTGCATTGCTTTCCCTACGGACCACGGCAGCTCAGGGCCATTGCATTTGTGTGAAATGTTTCAGGACGGCAGTCACTTGGTTTGGTAGCTTGCGGCGAATCATCTTGAAGAAAGTAGTCAATTCTTTTTTGTCTCTGGCTTGCAATTCCCCTTTCTCGCATAGTTTTATGGTCCTCTCAGCCAAGTAGAGGGCCTGCACAGAAAGCATAAATAGAACCTTGGGGTTGTCAGAGAAACTATTCTCTCTCTCTTTATTTCTCTCGCTGTCTCTCTGTTTCTCTCTCTCTCTATGAGTCTCTCTCTATTTCTCTCGCTCTCTCTCTGTTTCTCTCTCTCTCTCTCTCTCTCTCTCTCTCTCTCTCTCTCTCTCTCTCTCTCTCTCTGAGTAGGCAGCTGGTATTTTCACCTGTGGAACAAAATCTAATTGCGTTTTCACTTGTTTTTCTCTAGGACGATCAGTAAACAGCTGGGCCGTGCCAGAGGGTATACAGACTGAACTCTGCCCTCTGCTGGCCACGCCTCTCTCTCTCTCTCTCTCTCTCTCTCTCTCTCTCTCTCTCTCTCTCTCTCTCTCTCTCTCTCTCTCTTCATTTCAATGATATTTTAAAAACATGTTGCCGCATAGATGATATAGGGGGAAGTACAGAATTTCGATTTACATTTTACAGGTTTCGCAAGGGAAAGTTGGAAGCACTCTCGGCACCCATCGCAAATCCCATAGTTTTGACATCTTAATCGGAATGGCTGAAGAACAGGTCCAAAATTGGAAACTAGATCTAAACTAGACTAGATAGACCGAAAAGAAATAAGTATTTTAGCTAACTGTAATAGGCCTAGACCTCTGCGACAAGAGCTGGTATGTCTTCGACAGGTCATGAAAACGTGCGTAGATTTTTTTTTCCACGACAGTTCCTGAAAAGGCGCATAGGTTTTTTTTCGACAACATGTCGTGAAAACTCTATCTATCTCTATCTATCTATCTATCTATCTATCTATCTATCTATCTATCTATCTATCTATCTATCTATCTATCTATTTGTATCTTTCTTTGAACATTTGTGAGGGTGTTTATGCTGTCAAACCTTGTTATACTCTCCCCCGCCCCCCCCCTCCCCCGGTCGTACCGCCAATCTCACTAGATTCTGCCATGTACGAAAAGGAACGCATGAACATAGTATTTGCCCTCGTTACACCGCCGCGCCATCCGTCAACTGTCTGAGTTGAGTGGTCCATATTCAACTAATGTAAATTTGCCCCGCTATACCGCCAACAAATTGACTACTAGAGCCACCGGTGTAACCTACACACGGCGGCTGCTTAAGAATCTCTTTCCCAATCACGTCCCTGCGAACCTGGTCAATTCTTAGCACTTACGACCAACAGGCTGGCGGGCGCCCGCGAGGCTTTTATTGTGACGGCAAAAGTTACCATTACCTCCATGTACTTTTCAGTGGCGTACTTGAGCATGCCCAGTGCGAAACACGTCATCAGAACGTCATAAGGCCGTCCCAAGAATTTGTCTAAACGGTTCCTTGTGTCGTGAATGTCTGTGGATTGCGTTTACAAAAACAAACGAACAGTCAACGTTATATTATTTTGTTCTTTGAAGGAGGAAGATGTGGGCGACTAGAGGGTTCCCCGGGTTATTCCTCCTGCTCAATTAACAAGTAGCCCTGTG